TTAGGACGGCACGTGGTCAGGCTGTCGTGCGTGTTACAGAAAAACATGCTGGGTTTTAACAGGATCAGGAAGAATAATGAATATGTATTTACTGTGCAGAAGGCTGACGGCGAACACAAACAGGTGAGTATAACTGCTTGTTTCAGTAACGCATTCTTCTACATTCCAAAATACACCACCTCATGAAGTCCCACCGCTGAACGCTGTACGTAAAATGACACTAGATACAATTATCCTCTAAAATAAACAGCAAAATGGAACAAATCCAACATCTAAAATAGTGTGGTCTTTAGCTAAAGAACATTTCTTTGCTTCCCTAAAAAAAAATACAAAAAGAAACCAAAAGATTTCTCTATTTTAATTTTAATATTTAAAAAAAAAAAACAAAAAAAACAGAATTTGAATGAATTCATTTAAAGAAGCCAGAGGAACAAATGCACTGTGCGAGAACAATAACAAAATCCTCCAAGAAAGATTATTTTAAGAAATTAAAGTTTTGGACTCAGAATTACAAAATTAGGCAGAAAGAATTTTGCATAATAATATAATGATGGGAAAAATCATTATCACATGGTAGCAACTCTGTCTCAAACAATAAAATAAATATGAAATAGGTAATGGATAGTAAGAATAAAATGGAATTTCCATATCTGTAACCACTAAATACTTTGACTATTTGACATTTTCAAAAATAAAACTTCCTCAACAATGGAGAAAAAGATGTATTTGTGTGTGCCAAGTTAAAATTGAGCATTTAAAGTCATTAAAGTAATACTCTCCTAGTGACTTCTCAAAATTGCTACTGTCTATAATAGAAGACACTGGTTTAGACTAAAAAGAATGCATGTCAGAAAATGTCAGTATGTTTGTCCTAAGCATTTTTAAAATTTGAACCTGAATTCTAATTAAATCAGTCACGAACAACAGTAAGATGATGAAGTAACTTAAAAAGTACACCCAACTCGGCCTCAACAACCTCTGATGACCTGGAAAGTACCTTCCTCTTCTTATTTAAAAAAGGTAGTTCCCATTTCCAGCTACAGATATTCAAGAATGTCACTCTCACCAAGTGAACTAAATAACACTCTACGCATTTGGACCATTTAGCAGTATTTCACAATGCTGAGGTCAGGCCGGCGTCCGCCTTCACGTGCTTCGGGACCGCCCGCACACACATGGCTGCATGCCACGGACCAGGAGCTGGTGTCTTATCCTTGGGTGACATCTGCCTGACCGAAGCCCAAACTTCCACGCGTGTTCTTATCCAGAGAGAAACCGATCCAATGGACAAAAGGGGTTTATCTTAACTTTTTTAGACATAGATTTTAATCACACACACACACACACACTTATAGTTTCAAATGAAATGGTTTTGGTCTCAATCGATTCGTATTGTGTCTTTTCAATGTGAAACTCTCCCAAGATCCACAATTAAAAAGGCAAAAAAGAACAATGTGTTTTATAACACATCCTAAGTATCCAAAACAATTAGCTGCTAAAGTTCAGCACTGATTAGTCATCAAAAACATTGCCATTTAGGGAAACAGAGACACGACAAATTTTAGAGAAATCGTCTACGTTGTTAAAAGCTGCGTCGCTGAAAATACGGGAATAGCCTCGCTTTGGGTAACACCCAAGTTAGGAACCGGGTCAAACGCTACTTCGCGTGCGGAGGAACGCGCTGAACGACCCGCTGGTGGCGCCCGCGCCCCGGGGCACTCGCCTTGTAGTACCAGTCCTGGAACTTGCGGCAGCAGTCCTCCCCGCAGAAGTCCCGCACCACGCCGTCCAGCTCCTTGGTCGCCCCCTTCTTACACAGCTGCGAGCAGTAGTTACAAGTGACACACCTCAGTCCCAAACGCCTGGCGAAATCCTGTTTGTACAAGAGTTTGCAGCCTGGAAAAGATGAGGTTTGAAGAGTAAAACAAAAACATGTCAAAAAACTAATGTTTTAGGTACGGAAGAGCTTACGGCTAATACAGCGTTAGCTTCACAAAGTGTCGATAAATTCACATATTAAGTCCTCTTTCGCTCCTGATCAACCCTGTGAAATCTACTGCGATCAAAACCGACCTGTGAAAATTCAAACAGGACATGGCGTATTGTATTAGATACCACGTGGGTTCCAATAACGAATGTTCCAAGACATTCGCAGCTCGTAATGTCTCAGCACCACCTTGTCTTAACTGTAACCTTGCTCGAGTATCACAAACACACCAAACGGGCATTTTAGTAATGGAACAGTATCACGAGGCGGTATATTCGGCCATTGGGCACTTAGCTGGTTTCTCGCTTTGTCTCGGTCAGAAATGAGGCTGGTTTAACACCTGGTGCAGAGGAGATGCTTCGCTACCCTATTTCTCCAGTAAACTGCTTCTTTCAGCCCCCGTGCACTTGCACGGCTGCATGGCTGACACGTCGGTCTCACTCATATCTCCTCGGACATCTCTGAGCTCGACGACCCCCACGCTCTACCCGTGCTGCGCCACGTAAGGACGAGCTTCCTGCCTGTCCTTTAACGGAGAGCGGGGTGACATCGCCTCCACCCTCTGCCCTCGTCAAGCCAGTTTCAAGCGATCCTTCGCACTGGTGAACTTGAACTGCAATTTTTAACATGTAATTCACTTGGCAAATAGTTATTTTTATATAACTTATTTGGCAATTAATCCATGACTATGAACCACATTTTAAAACATTTTTAATATTTTACCTTTATTAGCTTTCCTTTCCTAACTAGATTTTGATGGTAGTACCAGGTACTATATGTTTTATCATTTCTGACAGGTTCCAGCACAGAACTAGGTGCAGTTAGAGAAAACACAAAATACGTTATTAAACAGGAAAAAAACACATCCTTTTAAACCTTTTATTGCTCATCTACAGTTATAAGTCCCTCTGACTAAAATTATGTTCTCAAACATCTATTACCTATTTGCTGCTACTTGTCTATTCGTTCTAGTAAAATCCACGTGGTACAAGGTCACTGACATGTTAGCCCAGCGGTCCCCAACGTTTTTGGCCTCAGGGACCAGGGCTCCTATGAGACTCAAACACCTGATGATCCGAGGCGGAGCTGAGGCGGTGATGCTGGCGCTGGGGAGCAGCCGCAGACACAGAGGAGCTTCGCTGCCCCGCCTGGCGTTCCCCTCCGACCAGGGCTCCTATGAGACTCAAACACCTGATGACCCGAGGCGGAGTTCCTAACAGGCCACAGACTGGTACTGTCCGCAGCCCAGGGATTAGGGACCCCTGTTAAGCCAGCAACGTGCGGCCTGGTTCCTAACAGGCCACGGACCGGTACTGTCCGCAGCCCGGGGATTTAGGGACCCCTGTTTAGCCAGCAACACCAACACATTCAGACTTAGGAATCACTACAAATATCACTACACAAAACTGCAGGTGTAAGAAAAGCTAAATAAACTCAGAAACAACCTTTTCAGTGGAACACTATGTCACTTTCCATTATAACTGACATCTTAACGGGAAATGTGGTTACCTTTCATCCCAGGTAAAACATACCAGCCACACCCACGAAAAGGAGGGCCCTGGTTTATAAGCAGCACCCCCTGCACGCGGGCTCCGCGTGGAGTGTGCAGGGCACGCCCAAGGCCCAGGGGCACGGACCTGTCATCCAGTGCCACTGCTACTCCCTACTGCTGGCATTTAACGACCTTTTTCTTGCCAATAACTCACAGCAGAAATCCACAGAGAAAGTGGATCCAGGACAAAAAAAAAACTGACTGGAAATGACTAGATGAGGACAGCAGATTGGAAAGCGGGGAGTTCGGTGCCCGGGACCAGGGAAAGCATAGAAAGAGGAAGCCGGCTCAGAGCGAGAGCCACCGACCCAAAGCCACAGCTACACTCCGGGTTCCCACCTCCGGACCGTCAGAACTGGGCCTGGAGTCTGCCGCCCGGCGCCAGCACAACGAAAACGCTGTGAACGGGGACAGAGGGCTCCCGAGTGCGCTCCGGCAGAAACCAACGAATCCCCGGAATCCCAAACTGAAAACCTAAACATATTTTCGCGCTGCAGTGATGCCACGCGGGGCACGCGGGGCAGCGACGGGCGCCCCTGGAAACGCTTCACGTCCACGCCGACCGTCAGATCCGGTCTGCACGCTGACAAGTGACACGGTCATGCTCTTACTGTGCCCTCACGCTTCCTGGAATGGAGAAACGGGCCACCCACGTTCTTAACCAAGCGAGTCGGTAGAAAAGCACCTTCACCTTTTCTGCTCAGCCACACTCACACCGCGCGGCTCCTCGCGACGCCGCGGCCACAGCCTGGACACGCTCTGGCGGAAGGACGCGCACTTGCCTTCGCTGCAGAACGGCCTCTTGGCGCCGGACACGCTGACGGCTTCGTGCAGGGTCTTCTCCTCCTGGCAGTACTCGCAGTAGGCGACGATGCAGTGCAGCTTCTTGTAGTCGTCGGCGCACGCCCGGCTGCAGAACTGGTGCACTTTGCTCTAAACGCAAAGGGAGCCGCGTGAGCGTCGGGCACACACCTCGCGGCGACGGTGCGAGAAAGCCAGCCGCGACGGCGGACCGACGCCAACGCCTTCGCCTACTCAGGGTCACTGTCCCTGCGGCTACGCGTCCGACAGACGAGACACCGAGCCTGCGAACTCACAGCCCCACCGAGCTCCAGAGCACTACGTCCACGGGGCCCCGGCGACAGGGATGGCGGGATGACAGGAAGGGAGCCGAGAAGTCTGGGGATTATGAGAGTTTCCCTCTAAAAGACGCCTTCTTCATTGGGTACAGTCAGGTAGGCGGGACTCCACACCTGCCACCTGCGCCCGGGGAGCGCTACCCAGAGCCGGCATGGGCCCTGTGCAGCTGGGGACGGCGGGGTCCCCTGAAGGGAGGCCTGGCAATCACTCGGTCCTCCCAGCCCCAAAAGGAGCCGGGACACCTGTCAAACACGCAGCCGGGCGGCACAGGTGGAGGCTTGGGCAGCTGCGGAGGATGCGACAAGGTCTATACCAGCCCCGACAGGAGCCGAGACAGCCGGGGACCACGGTAAGGAAGGTGGGGGGCCGCGAAGCAGCTCGCAGGGCGGGGCGGGGCAGTCCCGGTGGGAAGGGGCCCCCACGGACACACGACCCTGGGCGGGAAAGCCACAGCGAAACTGCCACCATGGACCTGAGCAGGACACACGGGGTGCCCGCCCCTACCCTGGGGACAGGCTCGGCTCCCGCTCCATCTGAGGTGCTTCTTACTCCGTCCCGGCACCCGCACCCAAGTGACAGAGAGCAGCACAGCGACGAGCCTGCGGAGCCAGCGGGGCTGGTGGGGCCTGCGGGGCTGGCGTGCAGGTGGCAGGGGGCCCGCCCCACCCAGCGTGTCATCAGCACGCAGTCCGTGCGGACCTCCGTCTCCGAGGGGACGCCGCTCTGCGTGCTGCTTGGGGTGCCTGCCCCCCACCCCGCTCCTTTACTCCTCCTTCCCGGGCCTGCAACCGTCTTCCTACTACGACTTATCAGAGGGTCTCAGTCACCGAGAATACCACTGGGTGCCAACGTCCAAGGACGCCCAGTCCGAAGGTTCTTGAAACTGCACCAAAAGTCACTACACAGCTTTCTAGGGACTGAGGTGCGAACACGGTGAAATTCTCGACTTCTAACGTCCTTCAGAGACCGTACCCGCCACCTTCTCCCCAAGACCTGCCAGACCCTCCGGTGCGGGGGGGTCACGGCCACCTGGGCCAGCACACGTCTCTGCCCCCCCGGCAGGTGAGAGAGAGGATGGCTGCAGACGAACGCTGCTCAAGACGGCAATGCGCGGCTACGGCCACCGGCCACGGTGGCACCCGCTCATCCGCCCCGCCCCGCCCCGCAGCCAAAGCTAATGAGCGCTGTTTCTGGTAATGGCAAAAAGTAAACTAATAAACTGGTGAGAAAGGGAAAACAAATTCAGATTCGAATTATGCAAGGTACAGCACAAGCCATACAGTCACTGATGTTGGAATAACCGTGTACGGTGTCCGGTGGGTACCAGACTAAGCAGAGGGATCATTTTGTAAGGTATGAGAATGTCTAACCACTATGCTGTACACCTGAAACTAACTTAAAGTAATATTGAATGTCAATTGTAATTGGAGAAATTTTAAATGAGGATTTTTTTTTATTAAAACGCAATTATAGAACATTAAATGACAACATAGTAAGCGACTACCAGATTCTATCTTACAGGTAGCAGGCAATACAAGATATTAGAGTTCGCAGAAAATATTCATAAGGACTGTGGGGAATGGGGAAACACTACAGACAGATGCTCCAGGTACATGCTAAACAAAGTGACACTCTGCACACGATCATGAGCACAATATACGGTGACTATGACTTCAGTAATTCTTTATTTTACTTAAAAAGGAACAGATCCTTTGTAAGTGCCACTGCCGCATAGGTAAACACTCATCACAAAATCTGAGAAACGGACCCTTATCCGCTCAGAAATTGACTCTCAGATGGAAACGTCACGGTCATTCTACCAGACCCTGATTGCCGCGCCAGAAAACAACACGACAAAACAGCACTTGCCTCCCATTCCAGGATTTCTGGCTTTGAACAAAAGGAATTTTTGCAATAGTTGCATTTCAACTGAATATCACTTGGAGCTACAAACTGGCCGTTTGGAGATGACTGCATACTTAGCGCCTGAAACAGAACAAAGAACAAAACATACTGAGCCCAAGACGGATTTCAGAATTTTCATTCGTGACAAATGTCAAGTATCAACTAGGTCCAGAAAAAGAATACGTATTTTGCTTAAATATTTATTCACATAAAATTGCATTTCTGAATTTTATCTTTAAAAAGTATGCTAGTATATTAAGTTCTATGAACCTGAAATTCATTTTTTACTACAGGACTATTACTAATCTTAAAATATATGAAAAAGAAAAAAACAAAATACCAATCGCGATTTTTTTTTTTTCTTTAAGAAAACGTAAGCAAAACTAGTGAGGCTTTTTGCTCTGGTCCTGAACTAGTAAATAAGCGTCTTCGGCGCCCGGCGCGCAGCCGAACAGCTAACTCACTGCTGCTCGCTGCGGCCGACACTTCCTCTCCAAGTCCATCAGGGAAAAAAAAACCTGCCTGTGTTACTTTTTAAAACTGATCGTTTCTTACACAAAGTTGGGGGGAAACATTTATAAACTAGTGCTGATACCAGGAATTTACGTAAAACAATTTACAGAATATAAAAAGATAGAAGCATATATGGGCTTTAAAAGTTTTGCCCTAATCTGAGTAGGTGAGTGCATTATTGATAAGTTTAATTTTCATTCTTTAATCCATAATACATTACGCAATATTCTGAATGTACAAATACTTAATAAAATCTTTTCACTGTGGCAGCGGAGGGAGGAAAACACCTTTATCATTTTTTAAACTTCTGCATACATCGTTCGACACATGAAAAAATAAAACCTGCAGATTTAGGACAGTAACTATCGAGTAAATATGTTTTTTAAATAAAAACCACCAACATTACCCTTAGTATTTCCAAAAAATTAAAGTCCATTATTTTTCAAAACAAATGAAAGCCATCCTGTCATCTTACTCTGAAATGGAAAAACATCTAATGGTTTGCTTTAAGATAAAGAAAGAATGAGGAAAAATGCTGCTTTTCTGTTTGTCAGCCTTGCGTTACTTTCACGCAGTCGCAAAGTGATGAGGCTGCGGACAGACTGATGGGGGCGCACTCCTCAGGAGCAAGAGTCTAACTTAAGCGTGTTTCATACACAAATGGCCTCATCAAAACCATGGGCAATACACGTTGCAATCAAAAGAGAAAAGTGGTTAATATATTTTCAATTAACATTTCATTTACCCAACATCAAAAAGGAATGAAGGTGTAATCTGACCAGCAGCACGCCAAAGACCCTGCCCTCCGCGCGTCTAATCAATCCTCATTCCTTAATTTCTAGTCCCAAGCGATGTCTACCGCGCTGAGGATATAGCAATGGCCACTATCCCAGCTTCCAAAGCAAAAGGTCTGTCTTCAATGCGGTCTGTCACCTAAGCTCAGTTGAGGATATAACGATAACAAAAACCATTCAGCCGAATTCAAAACCACCTCAGCTTAAAGGCTAATAACGGCTGGAGTCACAATAACATACTCGAGACTGCGTTTTCAGTCCAAGTAAACTAACACAGAGGGCGGTGCTTACAACGCAGCTGCTGGACAAACGAGCTCAGGGAGCATGGCCTGGACGCTGGTCAGAGCTTTTATGTAATACCCTGAGATGTTCACCCACGGCAAGGAGGCCTACGTAGCACGTCACCACACTAAGTCCCCTCTAAACTGTCCCTCCTAGTGGTCGGCGGGCTTAAGTCTGAACACGTCCAGTACTGCTGTCTTCTGAGACTTGCCATATGCCAGCTTTGAAGGCCTACGTCACCTACCCAAGTGAAAAATGTCTCCCCGGAACTGATCCTGTATTAAATTAGGGCGGACTACAGTCCCGTCCCCCGTCAGCTGGCTTATTTCTGTTATACGAAGACAGCACTTGCGCTCCCCACTTCCAGGCTAAATACTCCTGCGCCCTCCACAAAACAGAATTCCTTTAAGAGTCACACGATGTTATTCAAACCACCTATTAAGAAAGTGCTATACATCAGGCACTGAGCTCAGTTGTATTTATTTTCCTTCCAAGTCTAGATCAGAGACACAACGGAAGGTCAATTAGAGCACCCGAGCTAAGGAGAGAGCAGCTGCAGCTGTCTCCTGCGACTCTAAACCTCCACCCCAATCTGACTCTCGACAAACTAAAAACAAAGCACCATAAGTAAAGATAAAGCGTAGAACACTGTGCATTTTCTATGTACATTTTATTGGAGGTGAGGGTTATACAAAATAAATAACAAACCTGAAATTTAGCCACACAGCTGGAATTGCAAAAGTTATACAGTTTTCCATCAGGCATTGTGGCTTGATACTGAGGTAAAGAGTTTCGCTTACAAAAATGGCAAATAATTCCCAAACCTAGGAGAGAAGAGGGACAGATCTGATTTGTCTATGAAGTAATGAGTCTTTTAAAAATGTCTTAGTAGACCTCAGAAAAGTTTCTTAACAGAACCTTCTGTAAACTACCCTTTTATACATTTCCAAGATTATTTACACCTTAAAAAACACTGTCACAAAAGAGTCTGATGTGACATCTCTAAAACGCACGCGGATACATGAGACGATCTTGGAGTTAATCACGTGCGCATGAAAAACGGTGTTAGCTGAGAACACAGACATAGATAGAACTTCAATAATTTAAAAATTAAAAGAAATATGCAATGATCCAAACCATTAAAAAGTGTTCGGTGAGGGAGTCTGGCATGCTAATAAAGTTCATGCGGCTAAAACGAGCACCGCGACCCAGGTAGAGGACAGGGCGGCGGGCCGTGGAGGCCCTGGGCCCCGCCGCCCGCCCCGCACGCCCAGACTCACTCTGTGACCGCGCGCACTTGGTCTTGTGGCTGTTCATGCAGGCCGTGGAGCAGTACGGCTCCATGTAACCGTTGGGGCCAATGCACTGCGTCATGTCGAAAAATCTGCACTGCGTTCGGCAGCCGGTACAAGTGGTCAGTTTTCCGTATTTCTAAAATTCGAAACAGAGAAAGATAATTAAGAGAACCGCAGTTCAACTAGAAAAAAAAAATCGTTATTTTTCATGACACCTTTTCTCTCTGCAAAACAATCCCGTTAATCTTCTCGGGCTTAGGGAGCCAAGTCCCCATGGGGACGCAGGCTGTTCCGAGAGATGCAGCTGGATGAGGTTCGAACACAAGAGACGATCTCGGCTAGGTCGCCTTCAAAATCTGTTTCCTCTGTTAATTTATCAAAGAAAGGCACAGTGTTCTGTTTACAATAAGGGCACACTCCTTAGTCATTAGACAGAAGAGATGAAATGGACCTAAAAATGTAAGCCTTGATCATCAGATGAATACGGTTCTTCGGGGAAGTAGTTGAAGCTGTTCATCACGCACCCCACCGAGCTGCTGCTGCTCCCCGCGCTTCTGGACCGACTCTTAAAACTGATTCACCACCTACTTCCTACATTTAGAATCTTATTCAACCCCAACAAAATATAAAAATAAGTATTTTTAAATTAAAAAAAAAACTTCATTCGAGATGATTTTGGGCAGCGGAGAGGAGCAGTTAAGGGGGATCGTTTTATAAACTGTATAAATGTCTAACCAATGTACTATATACTTGAAACTAATAACACAAAATTTGAAAAATGATTTTTGGCTATTAGTTATAATTAAAGTTAATCGTTAGTCAACAGATAATAATGAAGTCGATCCTTCTGCCAAGGGTGAGGATTTGCCAACACTGATATAATTCAAAGAAATGAGGTCAAACGTATGAAGGTAGGAAAAGGAAGCACACTTTGAAAGGTACTAGGCAAAAGCAGCATCACTGAACTATACGGTCTGACAAAAACCCAACTCGAATGAACTGTGTTTGTATTAAAAAATCTACTTGATGGTCACAATCAGAAATCGAACATAAGGAAAGGCAAGCCTTTTAGAGCAACTTTTATTTGAGCTCTCTTCTGAGTGGTTACAGAACCGTCATAATCAGTTAAATCGAATATCACTTATCGTGTTGCAAAATAACCGTATCCATCTTCCCATCTGATGCTGAGGTCGTTTTACTCATCTGCATACCTGGCGGCATCTAATACAGTGTGACCATCTAAGAAGGCCTCAAGATGTTCCATGGATGGATGAATAAACAGATGTCAGGGAAGATGACAATCAGGCCAAAAATAAAGTTGCATGCATAAACTTCACGAGCACCAAAGGACTTCAGAAAATAAAGGCAGTAAACTGGAGTACAGACAATAACCGAAAACAAATAACTAACAGCAACATCAAAAAAAGAGGAGAAAATCCAACTTTTTCAGCATACGACAAATAAAAGAGCGGGGAGAATACAGCTATTTCCGTGCCGTGCCAGGAAGGCACGTCACATTCATCTTTGTAGCATAAAAAATAACCCATGCTGCCTTATTCCTCATTTACTCAAGTAACACTTAAAGGAGCCCTAAGTTTTATTTTTCAAAGAGGAAATCAACCTATTCTTCGATCTCTGATAGGCTCCAAAAAGAAATATACTTATCGATCAAAGGAATGACAACGAGGAAGAAATAAAAATCTATTCAGTCGAATTACGACTCTCCCAAAGTCAGAGCGACAGGAGAGAATGCTCTGGGCTGTGTCTGGAATGAGAACATGTTCTCCTGAGGCCTGTATAATGATTTCGATTTTATATTGGGGAAAAGATCAAAGAAAACACATCGATGAAACAAAGGCAGATAAAAGAATGTTGAAAATCCGACACCACCACACAAGTCAGGAACCCTAAAAACACCAGGACCCCCCGCCCCGTGTCACAGGATCACGGAGACAAACGGCCGCTCGCGGCACGTGCGTGCACGAAACCACCACGCAGCAGCCTCAACACAGAACTGCTCCACCAATAATCCAGTGAATGAAGTCTAACTGTCCAATCTAATCTTAGATTAGATTTTTTTAATTTATTAGAAACATCCTTCAAGTTGAAATGATTGTATGGGCAGAATGGTTAATTATCAAGTTTTAAGACGTACCGATAAAAAGCAGACCAGTTGAATTGGGTCAAGAAAACAAGGCGCTAAGCAACTGGTCGCACAGACGAATACTTTTATCTGAAGAGAATGAGGAAGCACTATCAGGAAGACAGAACCGTTCATACTGAAAATATTTTAACATAGCTGCTTTTATCGTGACCACGACTTCAAAAAACAAAAAAGACCCACTTAACGGAAGAACATTAGCAAAAAAAAAAAAAGCCTGTGCCATGTTCTCTGCTTCACATGTGAATAACGGGGACAACCACGTTCAAATTTAATGCATCCTGTGAACGTGCACTATGTGATTTAAAGGAACGAAATTAAATGGAACGAGTTCACAACTAATGCAGCCCCCATTCGGGCATGGAGAAAAATAGACCCACTTACAAATTTGGTGCAAAAAAATGAGGCAGAACTGATGGAAACGAGATACTGGTAGTGTTAAACGTAAATATGAGCCAGTTTATGAAAAACTGGCTCATTTTCAGTCTACTTATTGGAAAACGGTGCCTCACATTTTAATTTTAACCCATTCCAGAGGAATATCAAAACTGACCATCACGTGATTTTAAAAGTTGCTGTTATTTTTCCTTTCATGTGTAGGTAACGCCTTTATTTCACTTAGTACATTTGACTAAGCGAGCAGACGACCTGAGCAGGCGCTCGAGAGAGACGGGTTTAATGGTCTTGCTGCTGCACATCTAACCCAGGGCACGGGCAGCAAGACTTGGCCAGCACGGAGGCTACTTCCTTGTCACATTCAAATACAACTTAAACTTGACTTGGGTCCACGGCACTGCATAGAAAAAAATTACCTTTCCATTCATTAACATCTAGCTGAAACGTGGCATTCTGTTTCATTCTGATTGTAAGCGACAAACCACGTGAGCTTTAGCAGAACCTATGACTTTGTCAAAAAAAAAAAAAAATCCCCAGTTTTTTACATCGTACTGGCAGACAGCTCGCTATATCATCACGTTCCACATTACTTCAGAAAGCACTGTCGTTATGAACCATACTATCTCCTGACCTAGCGCATTCACGAAGCATACATATGACATCTGAAAATTTTTAAATGACTTGATAACTCTCTTAACTGACTCTGGCCGTGAGCACGGATGTTGTATCTTACGCGTTCGATGCCATTCTGAGAACTGGCGCGCCCACACGACTAAGGCCATCAAACGCTGCAAACAGTCAAGAGCCCGGATCAGAGGCAGAGGTGAGGAACGTCGACAACGACAGGATCTAGCACTCATTTTTACAGTACGTGAAGATTAAGAGATAAATTCAAGTAAAACTTACACTTCATTTATTCATAAAACCCTAAAAGTAGAGCTCTTTATGTCGCAAGACGTGTATGCAGAGAAAAAGTCCAAAAAATGTATACACCACTTTATGTTACTTTCTTCATTACTGCATAGTTTATAATTTTTCCTTCGACACACATCTACTATTTCTAATTAAAAATTTTTTCTAACTGACCATGGATGCCAAAAATAGTGGGTAAAGTCTGCTGAGCAACAGGATGTTTACATAGTATAATATATCCCCCCCAAAAACTTACTAAATACAGACGGAAAAGTAGCGACGGTCCCTGGGGAGCCCTGACAGCCACCTGTTTAACAAGCGAACCAGGTTAACACGCAGTCCCGGGGCTGACACTGAGGGAGACACCACGCAGGCACAGTCGCCCTTGCGAGGGCGTCCGTGCCGACAGGTGCGCTCCCTCAGCCCGAGGCTGGGACAGCAGTGGAGCAGCCTGAGGGCAGGCCAGCAGCGTCCCGGGGGACTCAGACGGGTCAGGCCTGAGAGATAAGGAGGGGCTGGGGCACCACGTCCCGAGAGCAGCCAGGACGCCCGCCCCAGCCCGATGGAGTGACGGAGACCAGCTTTCACTCCCCGACCCCCATCTTTAGCAACTAGGAAACTCGATGAAGGGCAGGAAACAAAGACTGTTAAACAGTGCACAGAATAACCTGTTCTATGAAAGTAAAAAATCAAGCAGTAGAAACAGATCTGGAAATGACAGATATGAAAACAGTAAAGATGTTGAAAGAGCTATGATACATAGTCAAAATCAGCAGCAGAAATCATGAACGTAACGGGGCAAAGAACAGAGAACAGGAGACTCGGATGGAACTTCTAGACATGACACAAGATCCGAGGTGAAAAATACACTGCATTTAATTTTGTTAGGTAAAAGATTAGTAAAATTAAAGATAAAACAACAGAAACTCTCCAAACGAAGCAGAAAGGAAAAAGAGACTAAGAAAAGAACAAACTAAATCATAGAGCCACCGTGATCACAGGACCCTAGCAGGAAGTCTAATGTATCTGGAATTGGGGTCTCCAAAGAAAAGAGGGGAAAAATGAAAAAGTTTTAAGTGACATGACGGCCTGCGACCCTGGATTACATGGGCCCCAGACAAGCCGCGACGTGTCCCCTCTGCTGTAAGGGACATCAGTGGGCGGACGTGAGGAAGGCTGCAGTTCACTCGGCCGGCAGCACCACATCAAAGGACACCCTCGCGGTGGTCACAAGGCCACCGTCACACCTGTCCTGACCGTGTGCGTTTATTACTCATGTACCGCTTTATTCACTTGGATTAATGGGAATATAGATTTGGAAATGATTTTGAAAGAAAGGGTTTTGTTTTTTTTTTTTAATCTTTCGAGTAGGCACCAAAGAAAGGGACTCTTTTTTTAAATTAAATTTATTGGGGTGACACTGGTTAATAAGGAGAGGGACTTTTATAACCTATAATTGAGTGCCTACCGGGGACAAGGTAGTGTGCACTAAAAAATTATATCTGACAATAACTTTTTAACAATATAAAAAACGAGCTTATCACAAGACACGTAAAATTTAGTGAAAGAAAAAGTTCGTGCATATCTTAGAGGTAAAGTAAGAAAACAATCATCTGATATATTTTAAGTTCATAAATTTTAATAGACAGGCATGCCTCATTTTATTAAGATTTATAGAGCTTTTTACAAATTGAAGACCTTCTACCAGCAAAAAGATCACTGAAGGCTGCAATGGCTAGCATGTTCAGCCAGAAAATGTTTTTTAATTAGGGTAGGTACACTGTGTTTAGACATAACACTACTGCACACTTAATAGACTACAGCCAGTATAACGTAACTTTTTTATGCACTGGGGAACCAACACACTCCGGCGACACAGTTCACCACAGCCTCCGCTTTACGGCAGCGGCGTGGAGCTGAGTCCCAGGTACTCAGGGAGGGAACCAGCGAACCAGCAGCGGCCCACGCAACGGTGGGGCCTGGACCCCAGCTGCGCTCCTGCTTACCTCGGGCTGCATTAAGAAAGACTCCTGCATGTGATCGCGAACCTCCTTCCGGGAGCTTGGGTGGCTACCTACCTAAAAGAGATTTTCAAACGCTTTACAAAACATATAAAGAAAGGCTGCTAGATCGAAAGGCAAATAAGCAATTTGTAAAAGTTGATTCTTAATTACAAACTCATTCCAACTTTTAAAGAAGTCTATCTGTCCTGTCCCCAGTGCCACTGCTCAAGTTAAGAGAATTATCAAATAACTTAAATTATCCTACAGAAAAACTCTTTTAAAAATAAAACAATACTAATAGGGCAAGGAATTAAAAATACACCCTTAGATTTGACTCACCTATACATAGAATTTATAAAACATCACCTATCTCTTAGATGACAAGGTATCTTAAAATCTCACTGAAGTCTATTCATACTTATAATGATATCTCGAAGCATTCTAAATTAAGTGATTTGGGGTTACGCAGTACAATTTTCATCATCTGCAAATGGGCTATTGTGGGAGCTCATTTTAAAGAACATGTGACAGCGTCCGGCACATACGCATTTACATGCTTACTCCTCGCAGAAAGCATCCTGCTTTCCATGAAAGACAAAACGCTATGCAAGACAATGAAAAGTGACTGAAAGTGTTAAGAATTACAGTATCCACTGGCAGGATCTAGGTTATTAATTTTTTGTATCGGTATGCTACAGAAACTAACTGACCAATGGGGACATAAACGATGGCAGCCAAGTTCAATGTCAGAGACGAAGGTCAAAAAGGCCTCGAGGGGACGGCAGGGACAAGAAAAGGTCACCGTACAATTTTAGTTCCCAGGCTACAGGAAAAGGAGAAGTGACCAGAGCAGCTGTGTGGCGTTTCCGGGAGTGTCCCAGTGACGACCTATGCACGGCTTCCCACTTCCCCACTGACAAATTATGACCACACAGTATGTGAATTATAAAACATGAAAATACTGTGAAAACGGAAATGAAGCTTTTAAAATCATTTTTATTTTATGAGAGAATGAGGACTATGTCTGATCCCCACCAGAGTGGAAGCCTTTGGTGTCGGTGGGGGGCGTGGCGAGCAGTAAGGAGGCCCCCCAAAGCCTCGGGGAACCAGGCCTCCTGCTCCCCCCCAAGCAATAACGAGGAGCTCCTCCCCCCACAGTGCCACCGGAGGCCACAGAGAGGACCTGGACTTCTACTGCCACCTGGCAATGGGGAGGTGGCACCTCTCTTTTCCTATGGACCAGTGTCAAATAAAGCCAGCTGAAGCCAAAGGTTTAAATAGGATCCATAGTATCATGATACCCAAAATGTCCAGGCTGCAATAAAAAATAAAAAATCACTTATCCTACCAAAACCAGGAAAACACCAATTTAAATGGAAAGCGACAATCAACAGATGCTAACACTAAAAACACAAAGATGTTAGAACTGACAAAGATTTTTTTAAGCAGCCATGATAAAAACGCTTCAACGAGCAATGAAAACCACTTAACAATGAAACAGATTCTTATCCAAGAAACAGAAGATCTGAGAACCACATGGAAATTCTGTAAATGAAAAACACCCATAATCAAAAAAAAAAAAAAATCAGTGCCTGAGGTATGTCCAAAAGAACACAGGAGCCAAGTGAAAATGCCCCCAATGGCCAAAGCTAGAAAATTATGAGCAACGAATCAAAGCAGGACCGATTTATAACCCAGAGTATAAATATCCATGAGTCCCTACCGATATTAATGAATGACTGAATAAATTAATAAATGCAGAAGAGAGAAATCTCCGCAGAAAAGTCCCAGGTCATCTACATACTGCGGTTAAGGGGCGGGGCTTCGGCAAGGCCATCGGCATCAACCTCGCCGGTCACGAATCCTGCCGACAGAAACGCCCTTGTTATGTGATGAAAGTGGCAGAGTGCAGAAGGCAAACGCCTCTGCGACCTTCCTTCCCCCAGTCTGGGTAATGATGAAAGAAACGGCGGACAAGTTCTGACGCAGGGACATCTTACAGCACGCCTGACCCCCAAGCACCTCCACGGTCAAACACGGTCAAAGAGAAAAATGACGGGGGAGTGAGGAACGGGTTAAAAGTTAAAAATGTCACAACCAAGAGGGGCCTAGGGTGACGTGGTTACGGAATACAATGCGGTATCCTGGATGGGCTCACAAAACAGAAAAGAGACATCAAATAAACGTTAAGGGAATCCAAGTGAACTACGAACTATGAACTTTACAAATGATAACGTGCCAATGTTGCTTTATTAATTTTAGCGAATGTATCACAGTACTTTAAGGTGTCGATAAAGGGGAGAACTAGGGGGAGGGGGCTGTAACGAGAGAACTCTGTACTATCCGCTCCGATTTTTTGTAACATTAAAACGGTCCGAAAAAAATTAAGCATTAGTAAAAAAAAGTAATAACCACAACAACCAGAACAAAAAACCCCAAGAGATGGGACCGACAGCAGAATGGAGGAGAGAGAAGAAGGAGTCTGTGAAGGGGAAAACAGAAATTATCCAATTTGAACAACAGAAAGAAAACAGACTTGGAGGGAAAAACTTTACAGAGCCTTGGGGATTTGCCTGACTAGAAAAAAATGGTATCTCTCTCGTGTCGTTAGGGTCCCAGGAGTAGAAGAGAAAGGACAGGGCTGAAAATGCACTCAAATGTCTGAAAACACTGCAAATTAGGCAGAAGACAGAAACCTACAGAGAGAAGTAGCTGAGCAAACCCTAGAAAGGACAAATGGAAAGAACCACCACAATACATCGCGGTCAAATTTCTAAAAAAAAAATGGGAGTAAAATTTGAACAAAATTAAAATTTGAATGAAGACAAAAACATTTTTTGAAACAACCAAAGAAATAGAGAAATACAATTGGAAGGACAGCCTAGGAAGACAGCAAACTTTTAGACAATAGCCCCCCTCTACTCATCCAAACACCATAGGAAAAAAACACAGCACTGACCCCACCCACACCAGCAAAGGCCAAGTGGAGAGCCCAGACTTGCACCTGACCTGGTTTCAAGGTGATGCCCTGCCCCGCGCCCAGCCAGGGAGAGGTCGGCAAGGGCCAAGTGGGGAGCCTGACCTCTGCCCCTTCAGCAAGTAGCGAGGCACCCTACCAACGACCCCCTCCAGATGAGAACCAGCTAAGAGAGTCAGGATTTTCAGGAACGACTAGCAGTAACAAAATTACAATGATGGAGTCTGAAGAGCAGAAAGGAAAAAACGAATGAAGAAAAGTGAACAAAGCCTAAGAGACCCGTGGGACAGATCAAGGGGATCAGCTTGGGCACTACGAAAGGCCCAGAAGAAAAATGGAGAGGCACGGAAGATTATTTGAAGAAATAGCGGTTCAAAACCTCACAAATTTGATAATGGACACAAATCTACAAAGCTAAGCAGCACAAGACGTTACAAGTAGGATAAACTCAAAGACATACACAACAGGACATTATAATCAAACTGTGGAAAGACTGACTCCTGAGCAGCAAGCACAAGGAACCCTCAGTAAGATTTGCCACCAATTTCTCAGCAGAAACCATGGAAGCCAAAAGGCCGTGAGATGACGTCAGGTAAAACACTGAAAGAAAAACCTTTCAATCAAGAATACAAATCCAGCAAAACTATTGCAAACATGAAGGAGTAACCACGACAAACCCAAATAAAAGTGGGAGGAATCTGTTGCCACTAGACCCGTCCTGTAAGAAATGCTAAAGAGAGTCAAAGACTGATGCTGAAATGAACAGACGCTGGACGGTACCTCGACAACATGATTTTAAAGACAAATGCACTAAAAATAATTGTCTCTTATTAGGCACGCGATGCTTAGAGGTAATTTATTACGATATAAAGGGGGTGGGCATATATGGGAACAGAGTTTTTAACTGTTAAGTTTTTATGGAATCACATGAAACAGACACAAACTTAGGCTGTTAAACATCATCCTCGTGGTAACCACAGAGACAGTATCTAAAAATTACACACAAAGGAAACGAGCAGAGAAAAACGACTCGCCGCAAAACCAACACACACACGAGGTGGCAGCAGCGGAGGGAATGGGTCGCAGGGACGGTACTGGACATACGGGAAAAAAAAGGCAGGAAAGAAATCCTTCCTTATCCGAAATAACTAAATGTAAATAGATTAAATTCTCCAGTCAAAAGGCAGATGTCAGTAAAATGGAAATAAAAATGATCCGACTATAGGCAGAGTCTACGAGAGACGCGCTTTACATCCGAATCCACACATTAAGTCAAAAATGAAATGAAGAAAAAAGATATTCCATGCAAATGATAACGGGAAGGAAGCAGGAGTGGCTGTGCTAATATCAAACAAAACAAAGTTATAAAAGCTATCGAACACTGACGTGAGACCATAAGCAGCGTACACCGGCGAGAAGGTAAATCGGCAAGACGTGACAATGACAGGCACGAACGCACCAAGGACCAGAGTCCCAAGCAGAGTAAGCGAATGTCGCCAATCTGACAAAACGGACAACTCCACGAACACAGCTGGAGAACTCAACAAGCCACCACTTCCGTGGGGACAGGAGACAGCCCGGACGGGCGGCGAGTGCTTGGGGACCAAACATGTCCACGGCGCCAGGGGCCACAGCAGTGAGGCAGATGTGCCACCAGGCCGCGGGGACACTTCGCCAAGGCCATGCCCGCCCCCAGGGACTCTGGTCAGGGACCCCGGTCACGGACAGAGGTCAGGGATGGAGGTCAGGGAGCTGTGTCCTGGCCGCGGCCTTTACCGCCCTGGAGAGACGCCCGTGGCGCCGCAGACTCAACCCATCAGAATCGCTTGACGGACCAGCACAGCGCCACCAGGGCGAGGGTGTGAGGTGACGGGCTCAGAAGCGCAAAGGAAAAGAATCTCAACGCAAAGGGACCAGGTAGCCAGGAGGCCAGCCAGGCTGGGGGTCGCAACACCAACGACTCGGTGACGGGCTCCCAGACGAGGCCCCCCAGGCGGCCCACCCGCTCGCAGTCCCACTGAGACTCGAGCAGACCACTCCCATCAGCACTGAGCCCGGGGCCAGGCTGAAGTCAACCTTTTTAATAAACTATCAGTTGTTAAAAAGAAAAACTCTGTGCCTTTTCAATCATAATAGAATGAAACTAGAAATAAATAGAGAAAGAAAAACTGGAACACTCACAAATACAGAGAGATTAAGCTACACACTCTTAACCAATTCATCAAAGAACTCATATGAGAAATTCGAAAATACTTATTTAACAAATGAAAACCAAACCACGAAACACCAAAAGTGATGAGATGCAATCAGTGAGCAGGGCAAAATTTGTAATCTAAATATCTATTTTTAAAAAGATCTCACCTTAAAGAAGTAGGAAAAAAACAAACAAACTAACCCCAAAACCAGACTGAAATGACAGATTAAAGCAGAGATTAAAAAAGAGAGAGCAGGAAACCAGAATCGATGGAACCAAAAGTTGATCACTTCAAAGAGGCTGACGAACCTTTAGACTGGGAAAAACAAAAGATGCAAAGAACAGAGAAACAAAAGGGATGAAACTATGGACATTCCCCACAAATATACCTTTGCCACTTCTGTTCAGCATAACAGTGAAAGTTCTAGCCAGGGCAATTAGGAGAAAAATAATGAAAGGCATACAGACTGGAAAGAAGTGTAACTACTGCGATTTGCAGATGACATGACTCCGTATACAGAGAGAGAATCCCAAGGGATCCAGAATAAAGCTACTAAAGCTAATAAATGATTTCAACAAAGTTGGAGGGTACAAGATAAACACTCAAATATCAGCTGTGTTTCTAAAAAACAGCAATGTGCAACCTAAACAGGAAATTAATGAAGCGATGCCACTAACAACAGCACCTCAAGAATAAACTACCCAGGTGTAAATGTAACCAAGGACTAAAGGCTTGTTCACTGAAAACTACAGAAGACTGCAGAAAGAAACTAAGGAAAACCTAAATAGATAGGAAGACAGCCTACATTCATAGATAGGAAGATTTAACACTGCTGAAATGTCAACAATATCCAAAGCAATCTACAGACCAATGCAAGCACTATCAAAATTCTAATAGCCTTTTCTGCAGAAATGGGAAAGCTGGTCCTCAAATTCTTATGAAATTGCAATAGATCTAAAACATCCAAACAATCCTGAAAAAGAACAAAGTTGGAGGACTCATTTCCTGATTTCAAAACTTACTACTAAGACAGTTATCATTAACAGTATGGTACCTGCATTAAGAATCAACATGCAGATCAACAGAATACAGAACCGAGAGTCCAGAAATAAACCCACCCATCTATGGCCAATTAATATTTGACAAGTATGACCAATCCATTCCACAGTGCTGGGACAACTGGACCTCCACATGCAAAAGAATGGTAGGTAAGTTGGACGCTTGCCTTATACATAAACAAAAATTAATTCAAAATGGACCAAGGACCTAAGAATAAACACCATAAAACTCTTAAAAGAAAACACAGAGAATAAACCATCTTGACCTTTGATTTGGCAACAAATTCTTAGTTATGGCACCAAAAACATGATCGACAAAAGAAAAAAGGAGATAAATTTGACTTCACTAATATTAAAAACTTTTCTGCATGAAATGACATTATCGAGAAAGTAAAAAGACAGTCCACATACGGCAGGCAATATTTGTAACCATGTTATCAGACAAGGGATTAACATTCACAATATGCAAAGAATTCCTACGACTCAAGAACGAAAGAAAACACAACAAAATTCAAACATGGGCAAAGGAATTCCATAGATATTTCTCCAAAAATATACAAAAGGTCAATAAGCACATGAAAACACGCTCAATATCATTAGTCATCAGGGAAATGCAAATCACAACCACAAAGAGATACCATTTCACACCTAGTAAGATGACTATAACAAAAAAAATTTTTTTTAAACGAAAAATAAGGGTTGGCAAAGATGGAACCCTCACGTATTGCTGGCAGAAATGTAAATGAATGATCCAGTTGTGGAAAACAGTCCACAGTTCCTCATAAAGCAAAATGTGCAACTACCCTATGACCCAGCAACTCCTCTCCTAAGGATGTACCCACAAGAACTGAAAACAGACTCAAGCTGATACCTGCGTCCCAGTGTTCACTGTATCGCCATTCACAACAGCCAAAAGGTGGAAACAACCCAAATTACATCAACACACAAGTGGATAAATAAAATGTGGTTCTGCTGGGAGCGGGCATTTAAAACCAGTTAAAAATACGCCTGCATATAAGTCTGTATACATGCCCACACAAAATCATGGGAGAGAAAACCTCATTTAAATAACAAAAAAATAAAATATTCATGAACGAAGTTAACAAGAAAACTGGTGTCACAAGCAGAATGAAACCCTTTGTTCTGACACCATAAAGACGCTGGCTCTCGAGATCGGTCATCTGGAAGTGGACAACACGTGCCCTGTAACTCAGCTCTACGCCAGGATACATCCAGATGGGTTAAAGGTTTAAATACTAGATGAAGCCTCACGAGCATGAGAGGAACGTGGAAAATATTCCACGTTTTATAGCCCGGGACTGAGGAAAGTATATGAAGCAAAATCCAGAAGCGATAGAACTGTTAAATATGACAACTTAAAATTAGAAACTGTACATGACAAAAAATGTCTATAAGCACCCAATCACAGTTATACGTCACGTGGATGGATCGCGATCCATACTGACGTCATTTCCATGAAGTTTATGACCAGTCAAACCACGACGCTGAAGGTCAGGTCGGTGGCTACGTCTGAGGCGGCGGAGGGGCAGTGATCAGGGGACAGAAGAGGGACCGCTGGGAAGCGGCAGGTGTTCCGTGTCTTGACCAGGGTCTTACAAATTGAGACACAAAGCTCAGATGTGACATTTCAGGTAGCACTGTGAGACAGGATTACTAGCTCCACAGCTTTGCGCGTGGTCAGACGGGGCAGTCTGCCCCAGAAGCAGGCGACCACGGTGGGGCCAGGGTTCAACCGAGGCCAGCCAGGAAAGCCAGCACGCTTCCCGAGCCTTCCAGGAGCTGCACACACAGAAGCAGCAGCAGCGACATCGATCAGCACACCGAGTCCCGGAGATCACGACCAGCTGCACCTTTCCGTCACTACGAAGCTGAAGTGTGCCACCCACAGAAGTGCAGACCCACGGAAGCAGGGGACCGGCGCGACCACTGGACTTTCCATTGTACGGTTCCCGGCACCAGCAGAGTGCCAGCAACATAGTAGGTGCTACATAAATGTTTCAGGAACCAGTGACTGGTGCATTTTGCTCCTTAAAATAAATGTTCGACATAATGGGAAAAATTTTGAGATCGAAGCCCAAACAACAACAAAAATGGGTAAAAGATGTAAACGAATAATTCACAGAAAAGACGGTCAGCTCTGAGATGGGAAAAGCTGCTCACCATCGTTCCTAATAAAAGGGACACACGCGAAAACAACTCCGCCGGGCCACGACCGGCTGGGACGCCCTGAGCGCACAGACGATGCTCTGTAATGAAGACATCAGGAGGTAATACGTTTTGAATATTCATTTTCTTTGTCTTCAATACTGTCACGGTCTGAACTGTGTTACCCCAAAATGTGTGTCTTGAAGTCCTAACCTCCCATGAGGCTGCGTGTGGGACAGGGCCTCAGGGAGGCAGGTGGGGGTAGATGAAGTCCTACAGGTGGGACAGGTAAGGGCTCCTCATGGAAGAGGAAGACCGACCTCTCTCTTCCTCCGTCTCCCTTTGCATAGAGAAGAGACCACGTGACAACGCAGCAAGGAGGCCACCTGCAAGCCTGGGAGAGCAGCCTCACCAGAAACCAACGCGGAGAAATACCTGTCCTTGGACCTCTGGCCTCCAGACCTGTGAGAAAGCGACTCCCCGCTGCCTGAGCCCTGCGGTCTGTGGGGTTCTGTCACGGCGCCCGGCAGACTAACAAATACAATTTATCTGTAAGTTTCTCTAATTTAAGTTTTAATGACGAGTGTTTATAACCAGCTCGCAAAAGTCGTGAAAATTCACCTTGTGCGGCCACACTGTAAGAGGAGGAAGCTCTGTGCATAACGAGAGGGGGGTGATTTCCAAGAAACTCTGTGAAGCAACACCGGAAGGCCAGTGAAGTGCATATGGTATGCTGTCTTTTATACAGAAAAAAAGAAAAACTAAGAATGAATTATGTATTTCCTTAATTTTTCAGAAGGAACATAAAACATAAAAATAGTAAGAACTGAACACTGATACCTATAAAGGATGAGCAGGAATCAAGAGAAATAGACAGAAACAGGAGCTGGACTTCTCTGAGTTTATCTTTTTTTATGTACATTTTACTTTCGAAGCGTACGTATGAATTCAAAAGTAAACTAAATTAAAAAGACCTTAAAAACGAAATTAACCTTAAAACTGAAAAATGAGATAATCCTAAGCTAAGCTTTAACAATTTGAAAAATCATTATCTGCAACCTCTCCACCACCCACGACAGAAAATTCAAAAGAGGACTCATTCTGGTAGCATTTCCCCTTATATTTAAAAAAATCACAAGTTTCTTTCTAATAACCTATATATATTTCAGCATTCATTTGAGACAAGTCATTTCCAAGACGTGAAGATAATAAAATGGAATGAGATTCCAAGACGAATCTGGTTAATACATGCTGGTGAAGTAAAACTATCAGGACAATTGAAAACACGCTCGGAGGAGTGGCAGACGCGGATGAGATCGCCACTTACCTGTTTGTACTCGCTGACACAGCCCTGGCAGCAGAACCTCTTCTGCTGCCCGTCAATCACCAGGATGTTGTGCCCGGCCCCTCTGCTGGGCAGGTACTCCCCACACTGCTCGCAGCAATTCATGATCAGACCGTTGGCCATTCTGTATCTATTAAAGCAGTGGTCGCTGCACAGCTTATGAGTCATATTTTTAAAGCTAACTTCATGGCGAATCTAAGAGAGAAACAACACACAAATTTTTTTTTACAAAATGAGTATGACAAGTAATCAAAAAATGAGGCGCTCCGATAAAAAGATGCCTCAGTGAAAAGCTTCTGTGAAAAGCTTAAGACAAAAGACGAAGGACATTTCGTTATCCTTTAAACCAAATTCATACACACAAGGAACACACATATGGAGGGGGAGCCACCAGCGACTTCACTACAAATTTCTCTAGAGGTCTCTGAAGATGAAACAAGCCAGCTTCACTTGATATAAAGCTTCTGAAACAAACAGACCTGAAATCTTTAGACAAATCCAAAAGGAACTATAAATAGGTGCAGTGCTCTGGAAAAGGGAGTCGAGAACCCAGCTTATAAATAATTCCAGTGGGGCATGTGTACACAGGTTGCTTCAACCAAATGCAAACACTTAATACCATGTTGACAACATGAAGTTGTAAAAAAACTCCCTCCACGGGTTCTACCTCTTAAGCAAGCTTGTCTTTCTTATGTAGTCGGCCTCTTTGTTCAAACACTACGGTTGTGTCTGTGAGCACACCTCACCTCAGGTAAAAGCAATAAATTGCACTTTATATTGTATTATATTTTAACTCTTCCTAGATCGTTCTCCCTATGGGGTACTCAGATCCACTTCACACCTCCTCACGTTTAAGGAAATACACACTCGTGAAAGAGTATCGCAACTGTCAAGATACGCCCGTTGGAGCTAAGTGACAAAGCACGAAACACAGACCTCTGTCAGTTTACCGCAGATCGTACACCTCGACTTATTCAGCGCCCCCTTGGCGGGGCTCTGTTTGTCCTCGTAGAGGGACAGGCAGGATGTGCTGCAGAACTCCTGGAAGGACTCGCTCGAGTCCACCTGGGCAACAATGGTCCCCTTCATGGCGGTTATGTCTCTGAAAACGAGAGCAGCGACTTGGAGTGAGATTCTATTTCCAAAAAGTCGAACGTAAGAGCAATAACTGACATTTTCAATTTCCACGGAAGCAAAGCTTTATACTATTAAATGCTTGCCACAACCTAGTTTATCCTCAAACTCCTTAACGAGGCTCTCAGATGTTAGAAACAAAAACAAAAAGGCTGTTGTTATTTACATAGCGTTTAATGTCAAGGCCCGATTTACTGAGGTACAAATTTACAATGCCTCGGGTAAGTAGAAAGCAGGAGATGTCGAGGTCACGGGGCCATGACACATATCCTAGAGAGGGCAACTGAGCTTAAACGCACCCACAACCCGAAACGATCCCACCCACCATCCCGCACAGCTCTGTCACTGCAATCAGAAACGTTAGGAAGCGACAATACAGGTGACCTCTGCCATTCTCCTTTCATTCTGAATTTCAGGATCCCGTACGGCAGTATACAAGTCTGCTGCTGTAAAGCAGTCTAAAGAGCACACGACGACTGCTCCAACATTTGAATTTGTTGGACTTGTACAGAGCACGAAGCCCTTTCCAAAGTCCTAGGACCAAAACCGTCCTTGCTGACTTGGGCTGCTCCGGACAGTGCAAGAAAACCCACCTGCTCTGAACGGGAGGTGCCAGACTCTGCTTATTTTTAACTAGCGAAGCCAAACTTAAAAGCTGGCAGAAGAGAACACCCTGTCTCTCCAAGGCTGTCAGAGAGCTGGCATCTGTCCTGCAATAGTGAGTACGCTAATGACTTAATGTTCACGACATACATAAATACACGTAAATCCAAAGACTTGCCAATTTTTAAATAATCTGAATAGGAAGACAGTGTGAAATCTGATCTAGTTTAATATAGAACTAGTCATACATAAACTGCTTAACAATTTTATCTGCTTAGAACTAAAGTCTTATAATTAATAATGTAAACGTGTATGTATTTTTCGAAATTCAGGGAGTCCACTGGAGCTTACAGACAAAACTAGTTGCACGGCTGGGCACCTGCGTCGACCGCAAAGCCCGTCCATGTCAGACGCCCTTCTGGTCCGAAGATGCTGGCCGGGCGGAGAACCCCTTGAAGCTACCTGAGACTCTGGCAAGCTCCCTGAAACCCCACGCCACCAACATGCGGCCCCGCAGGCCCCACGGAGAGGGGCGGCTTACTTTTTACACATGACGCAGAGTTTCTTTGGAGCAGGCTTGTGCGAGAAGGAGGAGAGGCAGGTGGTGGAACAGAAGAGGTGAGCGGATCCTTTCCGTTGGTAAGCCGTCTGTCCCTTCTGTAAAGGTTTCTTGCAGTTTGCACAAGTGACTTTAACCGGCTTAGTGGGTTGCTGCTGGGCGGAAGGCGGGAAAATCTGCTTGGGAAGCGAGGCCACTGGCGATAAGGAGTCCACCCCGGGCTGCTTCTGATTCCGGGGGAACGACGCTGACTGCGAGATCCACGAGTCTTAGAAACAAAACACAGGAAGAGGCATGGAACAGGTATTCACGCACGGAGGCTCACGCCACACAGCTCTGGCTTCCCGTTCCCAACAGGCGTGGGGCAGCAGCAAGGCCACAGCAGGCGGCGGGGACGGACGCGGTCCCGGGGCAGGACTGCTGGCGACATCCGCGCTCCGTCGCACTCGCCAGACCTGGGAGCTGCCCACACCCTGCGCCTAACTCCCGTCTGAACGCGCCGACGTCGCACGACTGGTGGCACTGAGCGAGCGACACGCGTGACACACCGCGGTGACGCGCACGCAGCGGGCACTGCGCGCGGGCACTCCGCGTGCTGGCTAGCGGTTTTTAAACGGGGACTGATTTACAGAATATTACTTTAAGCGAGGGACGCGTCCCTCGACATACGAGTATAATAACCCCCGACCGGCCACCGCCTTCGACAAGGTCACATGCGACTGCAGGCGACACGGCCTTCGAAGAACCGATTTTCCACAACGCTCG